GCGCGCGCACGCATGCACGCACACACGCGCGCGCACGCATGCACGCACACACGCGCGCGCACGCATGCACGCACACACGCGCGCGCACGCATGCACGCACACACGCACGTGCACGCATGCACGCACACACGCACGTGCACGCAGTACTATTTTCACGTAGCGTTTACAAACGCCTTAAGCAAATTTTGCCGTGCGATGTTTTTCGGTATTTTAAATGTGGCGCCTGAATGCCGTATTTATTTGCATTTGTAATCTGCATCTCGTCTCATCGTTCCATCACAGAATAGCTGTTTGCTGGCGAAATTTTGTTAGGTTTATTTTTTACAGAAACTATGCTATCGGATTTTTCACTGTATGCTCCCGAGTAAGTTTACGATTAATTTAATCATTGCTGAATTCTTTTCTAATCGTAATTCTTCAAGCGTTTTTCGTCGCCACTGCTTTCTCACGTCCGTCACGTTTCATCTTCCCCATGTTAACTCTCTCATTCCCTCGCCGCCTCCTTCCCTGCCCTCTTTGTCATTTCCCGACGCCCTCTCCTCCCCCTCCGACATGCTTCCCCTCCCTATTTGAAGTCGAGCGTGCCACGCTCAGCGACTGGCCCATTGACCAAGCATCTGTTGATTGTCTCCCCAGTAATCGAGATGCTTTGTAAATCGCAGACAATGCAAATTGTGCAGCCTCAGTAATTGAAAAGCTCCGCGATGAGTGGCAGTTGGGTAGCGTTGGTTGGGTTATGCAGTGTGTGCATGGTTGTCTGTCTATGTGTATGTGGTGAAATGGTGGTTGCTTTTTAGGAAGGGGTGCAGGGAATGCGAGAGGGGGAATTGTATAGGCTGGTGCAGGGTTGTGTGGGGTGGTGTAGGGTTGTGTAGGGTTGTGTGGGGGTGGTGTAGGGTTGTGTGGGATGGTGCACGGTTGTGTAGGAAAGTGCAGGGTTGTGAATGGGGTGCAGGGTTGCGATGTGCGGTGTAGGGTTGTGTGGGGTGGGATATGGTTGTGTGGGGTGGTGTAGGGTTGTGTAGGAAAGTGCAGGGTTGTGAATGGGGTGCATGGCTGTGATGGGTGGTGTAGAGTTGTGTGTGGTGGTGCACGGTTGCGATGGGTGGGATAGGGTTTGAGTAGGATGACGTAAGGTTGTGTTGGGGCTGATACATAATTGTGTAGGGTGCTGTAGCGTTGTAATAGGGGTGGTGCAAAGTTGTGATGGGGGTTGGGCAGGGTTGTGTTGGTTGGTCGTAGTTGTAGTTTACTGTAGTGTATAGAGTAGTGTAGGGTAATAATGGGGGAGTGTGGGATAATAGGGTGTACAGCCTAAACCCCCATACTCGAAATGTGCGTCGGGTCACCGATCTAATCGGCGGCAATGGATGAACACGAAACACAAGACCCTGTACGCTTCGGTTAGAAATTATGCCATAAATTACGCCGTAAAACTTTCTGATTTTTACTGCTCTTCATCTCCGATGGATTGACGAAATGTCAAAGGAAGAAATTAAATTGACTACGTCACGAATTTTCCATGGCAAAATTTGTAAAAAAAAATTCCTTACATTAAAAGTAAGAACTAACGTTACTAAATATATCCTCAAACTCTCACCTGATAAAAATGTTTTTACGTTG